GCAGAGCATGGGACAAGCAGCTTCGCGCTCTGGCAGCGCTCACAGGCACTGTCCTGAAAGATGTCTCGGGCCTCGACAGCACCACCACCCTGGGTGTGCCTACACAGCCTGCTGTGCACCTGCACAAGTTACAGCAGCACCAAGATGACCTGGCTCCACATCTGCTATTGTAATGTTTCAACCACACATCAAATGTTTCTCCCATGGAGCTTCCCAAGCCAAAGGTAAGGCTCTGTGGTACAGGAATACCCACTCCAACCCATTTCCTTCTCTACTAGCTGCTGCCTCTGTTCTTTACGTGGTTCTGCCGCACATGCTCCAATAAACCCTCTGTTGCAATGCCAGGAAAAGTTCGTTTTTCTGAACTTCCCCCGCCCCGAGCTCCACAAAATTCAAGCCAGGACCTTAAAATGGTATGATTAATTTAAAACAATACATGATGTTTAAGGAAAAGACCTGGTGTTACTGGAGCCTTTGGGCTTGAAAAATTTTCCCTGTAAGCAGAAAGATTGTGCAGACTAGCTCCTTTAAGTTTCAACAAAAGTCACATAATATTGTACCCAAAAGGAAAAACAGCAAACATCAAAAAAGGTGTGTGACAAGCTGACAGTTTATCACATGTGTGCAAAAAACAGCAAGGCAGGAGATTCAAGGTTCTGGGGTCTTTGGAGTGCTAAGTCATCAAAACAGCACAGCAGTTTTTAACAAGAAGGTCCCATAAATAGTGTCCTCATATAAGCTTTGTAGTTCATGCATTATGTACCAGAATATTTAAAAATATTCAAAAAGGATTCTCAGGAGTAGAAGGGAAATCTGTGGAGCATTCAGCACCATTTTGTACATAAGATTTACAGCATCCCTTTGCAGTAAGGCACTGCCTCTCCTCCTCCCCCAGCTGCCAAACCACACAGGGATGGGCAACGAGTGTGGAAGGGATCACCAGCAGTTTTTCCAAGAATGTAGGTAACTGTAACTAGAGCTTATGCCCTGCTGAGTAGCTGCGTGTCACTTATACATGAAGCAAAGGTTTTCTATTCTTATTTTGTCTCAGAATAATAAGTTTTTTACAATTCTGGACATTTCTGCAATTCATTTGAAAAACATGCCTTGCTATATCTACAACAGTAGCATTGTGTGGCCCTGCCTAGTGTTTAAACTGTATAAGGACATGGAAAATGATCCCTAGAACAGATATTTCAGGCTACTTTTTTTTTTTTAAGATTATCTATATTCCCATTAGGCTCAATTAATCCAAATAAAACTGTATATGATTTCAGATGAGGCGGGCTTTTGTTCAAGATACACTGTTACACTTCCTGACCAGCAACAGGAAACAACTTTCAAGACTACCATTTAAAAATACCTCCTCCTCAAAAATTTTTACCTTTTTTTTTGAGGTCCAAGAAGAAATGGGCTTCTATGTTTCTCCTAAAGCAATAGAAGTTTTTCCTTTCAGAGAAAGCAAGCTTGCTGTGACAGGGCAAATGAGGAACAGTACCAACATCCCTCAAAGTCTTTAGATATTTTAAGGACAACTGAAAGGCTCTGGCCCAGTTTTGACTTCTAGTTCCTGCACCGTGCTATCATCCTTTGAGAGACTACTGAAATTCTACGCCCAGTCACAATAGAGAAGTTTCATTCAGAAGGGCAGATTTATTTATGGAGTAGTGAGGCCAAAGCTGAAGTCAAGAGTCCCAGAAATTTTCTCCATGTAGAAACCAGCATAGATAGGAAGAAGGTTCAGTACGATGCCCCTTGACCTGCTAGAGCTTCACAGAGACACCAGGGAGACAAGCGACAGAAGGTCCTTCCCTCAGTTCTTTGGCAGCATCAGCACTAACATATACTTCTCCCTTAACTGGAGGTGGCACACTCCTACACTGTGTTTGCAGGACACAAGGCAAGAGGCTAATACACCTTAGCCTGCGATGGACAAAAAATGCAGAGCTTCTTATGACAAAGATCCAAACTGGAGGCAAAAGTTAACTCATGTATAAATCCTAAAGTGCTCTCAAATGATTCTTTTTGCGTATAGAATCTTACCACTATTTCACATTCACTAAATGAATTATTTTCATCACAAGTGTGTACTAGTAAGAAGCAAGACGATGCTATAAATTAGCATGGATTGGAGGATACCTGAGACAAAAATGAGCGATAGCCCTGAACAGAAGGGCAAACTGCGTGCTTGTCATTAAAACTGCAATTGATTGAATTCAGTTTCTGTATCAGAATCACCGTTAGAAATTCATTATTCATACCTGTATAATCTAATATTCATAAGCCTTCCAGCAGAACAATCTGGCCAGGTTTCAATGTTTGGTCCTTTAAAACATTCATATACTGTCCCATGGGAATCCTTACATATCATAAGTTCTCTTGCAGTGATATCCCAAAGCCTTTTAGTTGGCTTGGAAATCTGTCAGCTATAAATCATGAAACATGACAGTTAAGTATTAAGATAACTGATAAGTCTCTGGGCTTCTTAGAAGATTGCGGCCTTCAGACATTTCTCCATGGCTTGATGTCAGCTGTAGGCCAGTCAGTGAGTATCACTGTCGGACTAGTAGTGCCCGAGAAGAGAAAAATTATGAGCTTCCAGTATTATACTTCTGATGTTTCTCAAGTAATTACAACCAAAAGTTCACATGGATGCCTTGACATTTCTTCCATACTACAGCATTTTAGTTAATTGGGTTTTTTTCCTGATGATGGATGACTTTTATATCTGAGCCTCATCTGAGGTTTGCTTTGCTTGTTAGGGAACTTAGAGTGAAATACGGTGGGACATTATTCAAATTTCAGAAGAATATTTTCTACTCTTCTACTTCCAATTTCAGCTTCACATTAGCAAATTTCCCTGGCTGTATAATAACTTCTTATTTACTGACTGTGAAAACATCGTATGTAACACACTTTCCAAAAAAAACCCCAGTTGCTACTCCATGTGCCACTTACAATCAGAAAAAGCAAAAGTTTTGAATTCTCATGCCTCCTATGAATGATTGTTTCATATTGTAAACAAAGCACCATGTTGATGAGTTTGACAACCATTGCCTTCTACTTCATATTTTATAATACACATACATGTAGGTTCTTGTGCTTCTTACCCTAACTTTACAAAAATGCAAACAGACACATAAGATGCAAAACAAAAATTGAGATACACATTTTGAAAAAAAGATATGTTTTTCTTATTAAAAGGTCAAGCAGTAAACAATTGACTTTGATTTGGTGCTTGGGACTGTCAGCAGATGATATAACTTGAAGTCCAGAACAAAACTGACTTATACAGGTGATATTAATCTAATTATGCAATACCCCAAAACTAAACCACGCATTTTTGTCTTGCTAAGTACAGTTTAAAAATAAACAGCCTAAACATAAGATGCTGGGCCAAGCATACCCAAGAATTCACACCATCAGCTGGAAACTAACAGAGTTCTACTTAAAATGCTGTGATTTACACTAGGGATTTTGAGTAAATTTAATTAGTTTCCTGCATTTCAGCAGAGTATATTAAGAGCAAATGAATTCTCTCAGCATAAAACACTGAAACAATGAAGAACAAATGAGTTAAGCCTTCTTCATAAATCAATTCATGCTAAAGTATGTGCTAATCCCAATCTGCACTCTGGTTAGATATTACCATATGAGTACATTCAGCAATTTTAATTTAAACTGCCTGCAGTTAAACAGAAAAGGGCAGCAAATCAAGACCACTGTCATCATTCACATTTGCTACGGCAGCATCACATCTGTAAAGAAAAAATGGCAGAGCTGCCCCAAACAATGTTCACTGGGTCTTCTAAAATGCTACTCTTAATCCTCTTACATGATTCACTTATTGTGTCACACTGTTGAACATATGCAGTCCTCATGTTTGTGAGGAAAAATAAGAGGGGAAAATCTTCTTTCCAGATTTACAGAGTCCAACAATTTTGTAAGTTTTCCATTTACCTTTAAAATAAAATAGAATCATGTGGATTTACTAATAGTTGGCTCTCTAAAGGATAGGAAGTTAATCTGAATATGCCTGAAGCATTCACTCAAAAGTTCACTCCATGTTTTGAAATTCAGATCTCTCACTAGATTGGATCAGAAGTGCCGTAAAAATAGCTTATTCTCTTGCTATTTCATTACTGCCACAACTCTTCCCAAGTCAATCTTCTAATCATTGAACAGCATTAAAAGACAATGATTATTTCAACTTCTTCAGTTACATATGAATTCAAGTGGGCTAAAAAGATTATGTTCTGCAAAGCATATTTCTGCACAGAAAAATATTTCCATTTTGATAATGGATATTTCACTTATTAGCTGCTATGCCCACCTAACAAACCATTTTTACTAGCAAATTAATAAAGACAGCAATAAGACTTTTTTAATGAAACTTTATCTCATTGAGATTTTTTGAAACATTCACTGAGTATTCAACAGAAAGGGTGTTCCAAGGCTGAGTTTAGACCCTCAGGTCAATTCAACATCATGACAGAGACAGGAACTGAAATCAGAAACCTTAACTTTTCAGTCTGAAAGTGGAAATCTTGATAATTTCCCTAGATGAAAATAAAATTCAATAAAGAAGCCTGAAGGTTTCCTGTCAAATAGAACTCTCTATGTCCAGTTAGCTCTACAATTAGTTGCCTACCTCAGAAAATTACTTGGATAGGTCCTTCTCGTTCAGGGATACACCCCTCTAAAAATTCACTAAATCAGGTATTATTCTGGGAGCACAATCACATTTTAATCCAAATCAAGAGTTAAAGAGATATTTTACAGAAGGGGGTAGAAGTATCATACCCATCTTACAGACAAATGCATACAGGTGGATTAAACAACTTTTTCATGGTAATTCAGCAAGTTTCTAGTAGATCTCTATTTATAGCCACATTTTGACACGTGCTGTAGTCTGTCAACCCCACTTCTTCACTACAGAATCATCTCCTTTGAAAGAAATTATGTTTCCAGAGAAGGAAAATCTGAGAAATCTCACTTACCTGGCAAAAAAAGACGCTGCCACTGAGGTGCCTGTGGAAACTTCACTGGCAACATAGGTGCTCTGGGAAGCAGGGAAGCTGTACAACGAGGGTTTATCTGCATTGTAGCGGTTCAATGCTGCTTCAGTCAGGCCCTCTCGACTAGTCTCTGTCATAAGCTGAGATATCTGCAGACAGAAAAAAACCCAAAAGTGTCATCAGCTAAAGTTTACTAGCTGACCCCTCCTCATCCAGAAGTGTGTCTGGGTTGCAGATGGAGAAAAAGAGGCATTTCATTCACTACAACTTTGCTGCTCTGTGAACAAGTTTATTGCTTCTGTCATCCTAATCTGCAGTCCTTTGGCTCAGTTCTAACCTCGTCTGCATTAAAACTAATAGGATAAATGCATCCCATCACTAGAAATGTCAATAATGTCTATGGCTTTCCATTCACATGGAAAAGAAAGAGTAAACCATAACTCTTACTCAGTTTTACCTCAGGGTAAAAGAGAAACAGTTTAGGTATGTGCAAAATATTTATCTTTAACTTCAGGAAAAGAAAATACATTTGTTTGCCTTATTTTAAAATAACATAGCATCAGTGTATTAAGTATTTTTGTTGACCTTTCTCCATAAAAGCCAACACACGGCATAGGAAGGAGTCCATTGGGATCCTAGACTATTTATCATCTCTCTGGACAACTGGGATCATTACCACTCACTTTCATTGGTTTTCTTAAAAGGTTTCAAACATCCCATGATTTCATTCTTCTGATGGCCCATTTAACAATTTTTCCCCTGTTACGAAGCCTCATCTCAGCCTTTCATTGTCTGGGAGAAGAAACAGAGTTCAACCAGACTTGACCTAGCTCTCCTCAAATTAACTGAAAGATAGTTATTGACTTCAGAGAAAGCTGCGTCAGCCCTATTGAAGCACCTCCTCAAAACTTTTATTTCCATTTCTTGACTATTACTTCTGCATGAATTTACAATGGTGTGATGTCATCTATTGTACTTCATGCAATTCCTAACTACTTCCCTTTCCTCCTTCCCTCATTTCAACCATAAAGAGCTTTTCTTCACCAATGCATGTCACAAAATTGCAACATATACATAAAATTATCGTTAGCAATTGTCCAAGGCATTGCTTCTTTCCCTCCAAAAAGTTTGCAAGAATCAGTCTCACACCTGTTCAATTTGAGTTCTCATGCCTATCCTTATCACCACAGTAACAACAGAATATCTTTTTGAGGCACATCAAGAAAAGTACTTGAGATCATCCTGTAGTTCTTTTTCTACTTAGGCTTGCTTTATTTCAGCTGTTAAACATTTCAGTTGAAGGCAAAGTTAAAGAACTGTGATTTCTATTTGTGAGGGGAAAAGATATGAGATATGGCAACATTTTTTTAGACTAACTATCAAGCCATCTGTTTCTTTTACAGAGAACTGTTACCCATTCTACTATGGCTAAGAAGATAATCTAAAAGTTTATCCTTATTTTACATATTTTTAGGTCAAACAACTGTAATACTTCAAGAATGGGAATGCTAAACTAGCCACTCTGTTTTATGAGGAACAGGTAATATTGCTGAAAGTGCCATTATTACATTAGTCACACACTGAGCCTTTCTAATTTACTGATTCACTATATTGAATGAGCAGTGCTCTCAGAAGGCTGTATATGAAATCCTGGACTTAAATCATCTCATACTACTGTTAAAACACAAGAATTTAGGCTGGCTGCCAGGATACCTCCCTATATTTCCAGCGTGCAGCCAAACAGACGTTTGTTCTTCAGTATTCTGCTAACCTATATACGTCAACTTGGGGCATTCCAATACACTTGAATTCACTAAATTATAATTTCATTAAGTTTTCCACTATTTTTACTAACTCAGCTATTTATATTTGCAGTGAACTAGCACAAGATTCTCCCGTCTCCTCAAATTATCCTGAAACCAATTTCATCATCACATTGGGAACTGCTAAGCAGATAGATTTAAAAAGCTCTCCCTTCAGAACAGAGTCCACTTATAAACCTAACCTCATCCTAGTCCATGGAATTCATATACCTGAAATCAGGGATGGACCATCATTAATCAGTTGCCACTGCTGACAGTGTCACCAGGACGTGACACTCACTTCCATAGCAACCTGACAGCAGTTAAGAAGTTGATGAGTTTATTTATCTCAACTGAAATCTCAATTGCAATCATAACCTCCCCATCTTCTGCCAAATAAAGATTTGCAGCTCCAAATATGAATTTCCACAGCCAGTTCCGACACATTTCTGTTGGTGTCAGATCCCCTGAAGTGGCAAGATGGTGAGGCACGAGAGGCATTTCAGCCAACTGCAAAACAGGAAAGGATTTGTGTGTCTCTCTTTGGGACATCCAGAAAATATCTATCATGAGATGGGCATGAAAGCAGTAACTAAATGGCTTCTGAGATTACAGAGACTTTCAGGTCATCCATGCCTATATCCACAAGTCCTATTAATGTGAACAGCACAGAGCAAACAGAGCAATAAAAAGCCTCAAACGGATTGCGGACATTTCCTAAAATTACTCTCAAGCTTCCTCAAAAGCTGATTAGATGCTCAGTACATGAGCTTTTGAATAACTAGTTCTTAAAATACAAGCACTCCAAAAGAATCAAATAAGCACTGACTTACCAAAGAGACATGAGATTCTTTCAGAAAGATATAAATATAAACCATACCCCCTATTCCACCTATGCACTCAGAGAGAAATAGGTATTAGTCAGCAAATGGAATGTTAATGCTTTTTAATAAATGGGAATGAAGATCTTATAAAGCCTGTATTTAGGTCAAGCTTTCTTATAGTAAAATACAAAGGAATTGAATGAGAAGCTGGAAATAATCAAACGTATTTACAAATTCTGTATGTCCTAACCATAGGACAGAGAGAGGCGAGATCAATAACATTAATTTTAGGAATTGCATACACTCTGGACAAGTGCATAATGGGGTTGTTTCTATATAAATGTAGGCTTTTCAGCAGTACTGCTATTATCATGTGTCCTACACAAGAGTCCAAGTACTACAGGGATGGTCCACTGCTGAAACTGTGAAACACCTGCATGGTACTGACCACCAGAGCCTGCTGGAGAGGCAGCAGCAATCCTTCCTGTTCATTCGCACAGCTTGCTTTGTTGCAGAAAACAGGGAGCTACTCTTGACATTGATGTTGGTGTTTTACCTGTGAAAAGGAACTTTCCAGTGTAAACAGCCATGTCAGAGAGCCCTCCCAGAGCTACCCTGGGTGGACACTCATAATAGGGCATGTTGGTCTTGTTAAGCACCCTCTTGATCCTGAGGGTCCAGCACCACCGCCTGGTTTCCCTAGCCATGCTGGCACACTTCCTGGGCAAAAATACATTTCTCAGCGTGAACTCTCTCAAACTAAACTCCCAAACACACATACTTGAGCTCCATTGATTTACGGTTTGCCTCAGCAGGGACACTCCTTAGCTGACAGTGTATTACAAGAATACCAAAATGAGAACATACTTTGTTTTACCTAACACAAGACATAGACAAGACAAAATAAGAACTGGCTTCAGCCAGACCAGGATCTCCTAATCTAGAACTGGTTTCCAGTTTTAGAACTTGCTTACTTTGTCCAAAGTGGGATTTTTCAACAGTGAAATGTCTCCAGAAGAAATGAAAGCTGAAATATTTCCCTGAATTTCAAACATTCTACTGTTCCTTATCTGGGAAGCCTGCAACACCACTCAATGTTATACAGGTAAAAGGCCACAGAACTACCTAGTGATACTGCAATACTCATAACCTCAAGCTGAACATCAGGTTTTGCTTGAACGAGTTCAAGTTACTCTGTTGCTACCTTTTCCTTATATCAAAGCAGGACCAGGATAACAAACTAGAACTTGATATTTAATTATGGGATTATCCCTTTGGTAATGCAGTCAGTGGAGATAAAGGGCAAAGATGCACCAAATTTGTGCTATGCCAAATTCTGGGCCAGGCTTTTTTGTGTCCAGTACTTATCAGAGAATTGTTCATACAGCACAAATTTGTACATCTGGGTCAATCCACAGGCCGATACCTCACTAGGCACATGCCCACAGTATTTGACTAATAAATCCTCATTTATTCCCAGAGATCAATGCATGTACATAAAGTAGTGTGCAGAAAGAAGTCCAAATAAATAATATATCCAGAGACCACTGACTTTTGAGTCAGTTCTACTGTATTTCTTTCTTTTGCCTCAGATTGGAGAGTGTAGAAATCATTTAAAACTATTATACCAAAGTGAAGAGTGGGCTTTGGAGGTAATCTTACCACCTTATTTACTTCCATCTCCAGCCACAGTACCAAATTATCCCTTTCTCCTCTGACATTACTCATTGAACTTCACACATACACAAACTTGAGTAAATACACCCAGGATATATCAAGCATTTAAGGAAAAATACTCATAGAAGATACATTTCCAAAGCTCTTAGAGAATTTCATTTTTTTCCCCATCCCAGTTCAAAAGACATAGTTGAAAATCACACTTTGAACATTAACAAAAGCAGGCTCCTTTTTTGTTCGCCTTTTTTTCCCCCCGCAATAACATATGCCTGGCAAGTACAGTTGACATAAAACTGCTTCTTCAGTGTCACTGTCTCTCTCACTAAATACTGTTTCTGGATTTAAGAGGGAAAAGAAGAATAGACTCCTCAATTCTCTTTCCAAACCCTTCTGTGAGTACCAACATACCATATACATGAGGTTTAAGATTAGTTAATAGGATATATTTTGAGAAATTCCTTTACTGAATTGTTGGCAGCACATCACTGCCTGGATAAGCAACAAAAAGACAAAGCATGGAATAACGCAACCTTTCATGCCTCAATAAAAACCTTTTAAGTGCACATGGAACAAGACAGATGTCCCTCCCAAGGCCCATTTTTTTTCTCCCCTCTCATAAAAGCAAGGCATCCATTAACCTCATCTTTCACTGCTTTCTGATGGTATACAGCAGGAGCTGGAGATAAGTCATGATTTAAATTCTCTACTTCATAGGAAAAAGATGGCTCTGCAGTTAAACCACAGGTGTCAGCCAGGCTAGATTCTCTCCTTATTCCAATTAAAGAGTCACTCTGTGCATAAGACTTGCCATCATGCAGTATGAGGTTAATTATATTTACATAAGGGCATTTTTCAGCCAAGCTCATTAATGTTTCTAAAGCTCCTAACTGAGGACTCACAACTGAAATTACTGCACAAATGGAAGTTAGCATTTATGAAAGATGTGAAACATCCTTTGCTCTAGAGGTAGTGAACATCCCCAAAATCTAGTTAACATCAATGACTGAGTAATGAACTGGGTGCATAGAAACATATGAAATGTATCCATCTCTGAAGTCAAATTCAAGATACAAACCTGTGTTCAAATTCACTATAAAGCAATCCTCAGTTTCCAGAGATCCTAATCTCAGGAGAGAAGCTCACTAGCAAGGAAAAGCTCAAGGTAGAAAGCTCTCTTTCATAAACACACACACACACACTCATGAATGACTTCTTTGGCAATCTGTTCTTGATTCAGAGCAGCACTGAATTTTCTGCCCAATAAATACTGAAGAAATTACTTCCTGGCTTATTTTAGACAGCAAATGCCTACATTAACAAAGAAAAAGGTTCTTCTTGAACATCCTCCTTTAAAAGCTGAATCAAAGGAAGCTCTAAAGGATACCTCTCAAAATTTTAGCACACCAAAAACATCATAAATTCTTATAAACCTGCTTAGAACACAAGCTTAGCAGCTTAGTTTCCAATTTTCAAGCTCTTTAAAATATTAAGCTTTTACCTTCCGTCCAACTCCTTTTGGCTCATCACAGTTTACTTTCAGTCATAACAAGGTAAATTTAGTCATAGAATCACAGAACCATAGAATAGTTTGGATTGGAAGGGACTTTTAAAGGTCACCTCGTCCAATCTCCCTGCAATGAGCAGGGACGTCTTCAACT